CTGGACACAGCCCTGGAGGTCCCTCAGCAGTGCCAGCACAGGGGGACAATCCCTGCCCTGGGCTGTGCCCACACTATCCCTGATCCAGGTGCCATTGGCTTCTTTGCCCCTCTGGGCTCGTGTCCAGCCACTGTCACCAGCACCCCCAGGGCCTTTCCCATCCCCTCTGCCCCAGCCTGGGGCATTCCTGGGGTTGTTGTGACCCAAAGGCCCTCGGACATGTTGCAAAGAAGAGCACAGTGACATGACAGGTGTATGAACAGCTTTACTTTGGTCCACTAATAACATGTACATCATAAAAGTCTTCAATACTAAAGAATTTGATTCCTTTATGATTCTGTCCTGCACTTTCTTACTGCTTCCCTCTGTTCATGCTGCCTGTTCACTATCACAGATTCAGGTCCTGCTTTAAAACAAACAAAAACACCCTCCGAAGTTATATTAAATAAAGATCCTACTTTTACATTGCTTTACTTCCCTGAGTACAGCTGGACCAAACCAAGAATGCTGACTAAAACAACCAGGAAGGTGAAGAACTGCCAGTTCTGCAAGAGTCAGCATGCTCATTTAAATAAATTAAAAATAAATAAACTCTTAGAAGGTCAAAGGGTCAAAAATCCCTTTCCAGTTTAACCATTTCCCTTCCCACTGGCTCTTTGGAACCTGTCTGTGTGTATAAAATAAGGAAATAAAAAGCAGCACGTGCTTTGCTCGGAAAATAAAGTGTTAGGGTCCCTAAGCCAGTGATTCCCCTCTGGGATATACAAATCCTGAGGAGAGAACCTTCTCCCAAAGCTTTCAGGGATCACCAGGAACATGTGTGAGTGCAGGATGACAGCATACAGCATCTGAGAAAGGGTGAGAAAGAAAACCAGCTTAGCAAATCTAAGCCTGAACCAGAAATACAAACCTACCAGCCCAGTTTCAGCTGTTTAAAACTGAAAATTAATAAAAACTCTGCCATTCACTTCAGAGCTCCTGTACCAGTATTTATTCCCATGGTGGAGGTTGCACTCCACAGGACACTGATCCTAAGCAGCTGCTGAGCAATGCAGTTTACAGAAAATATAAAAATACCAGTGGACTTAACTCTGTTTTAACAAAGTTTGCCCCTAAAAGGCAAGATACACAAAACCACCTTGAAACTTCATCACTAAACACAACTGTGTTTGTATTTTAGAAACGAAATAATGAATCCAGATAAACATTTATCTTGAATTTACAAAACTCTGCTGTGCCCCATTAAGGACTACGCCCTAAATAAAATTTCCTGGGACAAAAATGATTTAACTTAGGTTATTTTTGAACTTCACGTTGAAGTTATAAGGAAAAAAAAAAAAAAGAGTATTTCTCTATGCTGAGATAAAAAAAGAGTATTTCTCTATGCTGAGATAATGTTCTGGAAAGCAGAGTGATGTGATGGTAAACACACAGTGTCAGTGAGGTTGTTGGAGACGTGGCTCTCACTGACTGACTCCCTTTTCCATGATCCACTTCCATTTGTACAGGGAGTTCTGCCATAAATGACTGCTGTTGTGCAGCTGCACTAACTTTTTAATCCCCAAGCCCTTCCAGATCCTATTACCAGTCCAATCTGCTGGAAAACTAATTCACAAAGCTGTATTTCAGTTCAAAGGAGCTGGGTTAGGCTAAATCTGATATTCTAATTCTAACACATCTTCTATTGAACAACGAGATCAGGAACCGCCAAATTTTCCAAGTGTGGGAAAAGGAACCTGCAGAGAGGGAGGAGGAAACCTGGAGTGGGGAAGGACAGAGATTTCCTGGAGCTGGGCTGTGTGGCTCCCACCAGCACAACTCCAAGGAAAATGTACAAATTTAGAGTTTGCTGTGTGTTCTCATTGTTAATACCTGTTTCAAGCAGGAACTCGCACGTTTTTCCTGGGGGAATTTTCTATTTTCTACACAAGAATTTTCTTTCCTGTCAACAACAGCCACCTCAAACATTCTGAAAACAGGAGATGAACTGCAATGATGAGAAACTGGAAAGGTTTAATCAGTGGGAAATCTAACATTCGAGCACTTGAAATATGGAGGAACAACAGTAGCAAAAAGGTCTGGAATGTCAGAATCCTCCACCTCAACCTTTCCACGCACAAAGAAAACAGAACAAAGTGTTTTGTTTGTTTTTCTATTTTATAAAGAAAACACACAAAAACCCTTAGGCCCAAGAGTTCACCTGCATGTCATAATCTTAAAAGTTTACAGTATAGAAGTCACATTAATGATCAAAGTACTACCTGTCAGCAGAACCCTCTTCACCAGCACCAAGAGCCTCTGGAATTGGCAAATTCACTTCTTCACTGGTAACTGGGCATCAATAATGGAAGTACAGAACATTTTAACATCTGCACTAAATCAAGTTGTGAAGTTATCAGCCTTCTCACTCCTCTTTTGATGCAAGGCTTGCATCCAACCAGGTTTCTCTAGTGTGTACTATTACTTAGAAGCCTGTTACTACTGTAGATGATCTCAGACAGCATTAGAGATGTTTGAAATCTGTTCTTGAATGTTGCATGACCTAGGTAGTATTTCATTGCAGCACCCATAACAATAATACTCAACATACTGCTATTAACCTGTTTGCAGTGTTTTAACATCTTTTAACTCTTGTTATATGTAATAAAATACCAGTAAAGACAAAAAAATTGCCCCTATAATGAGGCACATTTTGGCATCTGTGCTAAATGCTGCTACATGGGCAGGCAAGTGCAAGTCAAAAGTACGAAAAGGAGAAAAGTCATCATCTAATCACATTCGTAACTTTTTCATAGAAAAATATAAATATATTCCCTGAAATGTAGGACGAAGAAGAGCCAGCATCCATCGGAGGAGTTCTAGTGCTATTACCGTTAAAAAAAAAAACAAAACAAAACAAAAAAACCCCAACAAAACGAAACAGAAAAAAAAAATAATAAAACAAACAAACAAACAAAAAAAAGGTGGGGTGCTGGCTTTCCTTGCTTAAGGTTACGTGTCGCAGTCCCCGTCGTCGTCGCCGTCGTGGTACCGCACAGTCCGTCTGCCGCCATTCCGCGTGCGGATCTTGGAGCGCTGGTTGGCCCGCCCGTATTTGGTGTATTCCACGTCTTCCGAGTCGTGCTCCTGGCTGGGTTTCCAGCGTTTCCTCTGCTGGGCTCTCCTGGAAGGCTTCAGGGAGTTGGGGTTGGTGATTTCTTTCCTGCTGGTTCTCGGTTTCCTTTTCCTCTTCCTCGTTTCCGTGGCATCGCTGCAGACGCTGTTTTCAGTCCCGGAGTCCGAGTCGGAAAAGCAATTGAAACTGCCTTTGGAACTTCCTGCAGTCCCAGCTGCTTCCACATCCTCTGACACCGAGCTTTTCTCCTCTTTCTTCCCCCTAGTTTCAGATTCTGTTGTTTCTTTGGAGCCACCCAACAGTTTTGATCTTTTGGAAGAAGCTCGAGATTTTTTATTTGCTGCTACTCTGGTAGTTTTAGTTTCGGGTTTAGCTAAGTCAGAATCTACCTCCTCTTCAGAGTTACTCGTACAATGGTTGTGGGCTGAGGCTGACTTCCTAGAAACCCCCCAGCTCCCCCCATTTTCCACCCTGTGGTTGGTGGAATTCTCCTCTGAAGAGTCATAGTCAAGATTATTCAGCGCCCCAGCACAGACCGATTTATGTGCCTGCCTGTGGTTCTGCTTTTGAGTCTCTGCCTCAGATTCAGTTTTTTCATTCTCAGACTCGCTGATATATTTCCTTTTAGGAGCAGATGACTCAGGGCAGGAGGGTTTTTTCCTGCCAGAAAACTGCTCTTTCTCATTCTCAGACCTCAAAGAAGCGTCTCCCTCCGCGCTGTCCACCAGCTTCTTCCTGCACACCCCGGGCGCGGTGCCCGGCAGCTGCTTTCGGTTCTTTTTTACTGTGCAAACGCTTTCTGAGCTCGATAATTCTTCCTTGGCATCACTCATGATCTTAATTTTGTTGGCTGCCAGGGTGGCACATCTGCGGGGGTTCTTCTTCTCGTTGGACATCTTGATGTGCTTCTTGTAGTTGATGATGCAGGTCCTGCTCCGCAGCACTTTCCCACTTTGTCCCGTCTCCTCACTTGTTGATTCTGCAAAATAAAGATGTGAAAGCTCTTTTTAATGCCTTGCATCCCTGAAATAATTAGTTTATTAAGCACAAACGCTGCCACCTTTAATAAATGACACAAAAGTGTTTGGTTTTTCTTTAATTTTAACTGTTACGTGCAATTAACCTTAAGCCTTTACTGAAAACACAGTCAGTCCCAGGGATACTTTTCCCTCTTGGGATTCCCTTCCAACCCTTTATCATCTCATCCTTTAGCATCACTCTGCTAATTAGCTCAGAAATGACAAATTACCTACCTTAGTAAACAAATGCTTTCATATTACTAATACTTATTATCATCATCTTACTAGAATAAAACTTGCAAAATTACACATTTTAGACCTTTCGATTCTAAAAACAGATTATAATATTTTGTGTACATATTATTTATATTTCATAATTTTAGATGGTTTCACATGCAGAGAGATTTAAACCCTTCAGTTCCTTAGTGACTTAAACACTGAGATTGCTGCTGACAGTGAATCTTCCACTCAGTAGTTTGATTTTTAAACACAGAACTTCTGATGTTGGGCTTTAAAACAAATTTTCCGTCTGTAAATCCTGTGAATGATGCTGTGTGAAGATTAATGGTATGAATGTTTCCCTTCTAAATAAAAGAATTATTCATATGTATCAATTAAAATCAAAAGCACAAGTTCTTGAAGTAAATTTAAAAAAATAAGAGGGAAAAGTTATGGGACATAAATTCCAGTACCAATATTAACAACCTCTTCATACACCAAATCTGGTCCTTATTTCAATGTAAATCCTTTCATGAACTACTCAGTATATTCTTATTTTGACATTTCCAAAGGATAATTCATCTCCTGTCTTTTCTAACAGTTTCCAGGAATTATCCATGAATACTACCACTGTTACTACTTGTACTGTGTGATTTTGTGGCCAAAACACAACAGCTTCCTGCTGAATACTGCAAAACATTGTATAAAAGGTGAACAAATTCACAGATTAAAAAAAATGAAGGATTAAATCTTAAATTATACACTCTTCTCCAATATTATTAAGATTAAAGTTTAAGGAGGCAAGCCTTTGTGCCAGAATATTAAATCCATACTTTGTATACAAGACCTTAAATTGGGAACAAATCTGTAGATAAAGTTCAGCCTGAACATCCTGAATTCAAAGCTGCAAAGGTACAAACAAGTGGCACAGGCAGAATATTAAACCAACTCCCCACAAAAACTGGGAGAGAGTTTAAAAGACAAGAGAGATGGGAAATTCTTGCTCATCAAGAGTTCATCATAACTCCAAACCCGGAATATTGGGTAGGAAAATCCAGCCATAGCTCCAGTCAGCTCATCTTCAGGGGGTCCTACAGCCCACAAACACTGACCAGCTACAAAATGTATGTGAAAAGTTGGCTTTGAATTTTTTTAATACATAAACCCCCATGCTAAATAATATGTATCTATAATATATATTATAGAGAATATAATATACAATTACAGTATATTTTATATATACACTATATATAGGCTGTGGTTTATACATTAAAATATACTGCATGATATATATATATTTTAAAAAAAACCTAAAGTAAAGCTTCCACATAAATTGTTTAGCTGGTTACTTGTGCACTGTATATATATATATATATATATATATACATACATATATATACATATATACACATATATATACATATATACACATATATATACATATATAATCACAT